AAGAAGGCAAAGACGACAATTGTGATTGAGAAATTATTATATTAATGTATTACAAATAGTGTGTAAAGTACACCGCGCGAGTAGTTAAAAGAAATTTCAGAGCGCGAGTAGTTTAAGGTTAATATAGAAATAATAAGCTTAATATAAAATCTAATTGTAAATCTGGTGCATCCGCAGAAAATTTCATTATATAATATAATAAGTTCGTGTTGGCACATCTGTCGCCACGAAGAAATACCGATTGTTTTTTCAATAGAATTATTAAGTGTAAGGATTTTTATAAATTTATTTTTATTAATTTATAGCATGGTTTTTCTAACCATAATATTTTTTGTTGTTGTTGAATAATATGGTAAAAATTGCAGAGAATTTACATTATTTTGCGATTCCAGTACTAGTTTAATAATAACTCTCTGGATGCGCTGTAAATGTTAATTCTGGAAAGCCTTTTGTATTGATATTTTTTTTATAACCGCCGGCTACTTTCCACCCACGCTTCTATCAGACAACTGTATAATTAAAGCATACATTTTCCGTACACGCTGAACAACCTTTTTGTTTGTAATTTGTAATATTTTAATAAGCGTAAACTTTAACTTTTTAATTAAATATATCCATTTATTTCAGTTGATTTTAATATGACTATTGAAAAGTATTATTATAGTATTGCAATTAAATTAAATGTTTATGTATTCAAATAGAAATTTACGAAATTACTTGTTAAGGTGCAAAGATATAAAATATAATAATATTAATCTTAATTGGAACTGACATATAAACATAAAACTGAACATTTCCATTTAAGAAGAATAATAATAATAAAACTGAAATGTTATGAATTTATTAAAAATCTCTAAAATGAGTTATTCCACTGTTCTTATGGAAACGGACACACACTAATAATATATGAAATAAATCTAATTGAATGAAACTTTATTAATTTCTTAAAAATAATAATTGATCTGTGAACACATATTACCAATTTGCAGGATTCCGTTCTAATTTATTTTTTTTTTTTCATGTTTTTTTTGTACAATACATTATTTCCCGGGCAGAAAGACCTATGGTCAATAGCCATTTGTATCAGTTTACTTTTTTCTTGTACGATTGATGCAATAAACATTATTATAATAAGTTATTTGTTATATTTATATAGTTTTTAATATGTGAAAAGTATTTAAGTATTTTTTTTTTAATAATTTTAAAATTAAAAAGCACGATTTTTTAAATATTCAATTACATAATAAAATATTTAAATATTATACATTTAATTTGATTGTATTGAAATATTGCTGTCTCCTTTAAAAATCGAATGGATATTATAAATTTATCGTATTTCTTTGGCACAGCCTTGACCACACGCATTTGTCAGCCAAATAAAGACATAGTGTCCTTATATATGTTTAAAGAAAATTCCACACGCACCACGTTATTTGTTGTCTCGTTTGAAACGTATTGCACATTAGAATTGAATGAATGTAGTTCCCGGCTTAGAGCAGATTGCGTATAGGGATTTATGTAACGCAAACAATGACAATCCATCTTATATAGCTTACATAATGCATCCAAAATATGTATAAAATAAAACTAAATTTGCATGATAAAGTACTATGTAATGATAAAAATATTAAAATCAAGTATTTTTATCGTATACTAAATAGAAAAGTACTTTTAGAAATTATTCAGTGATCATTCAGTGTCTTGAAACTATTGAAAAGCTAATATATAAAACAAAAAGAAATAAATATTACTATCCAATACCAAATGCGAAAGTATACGAAACGAAAATATACAAAAGTATGCGAAAAACAAAAAGTATGAATAGAAGATAAATACCGATCATTTTTGTATTGAAATTAGTGCACATAATATATTTTCATTTTGGTCAATTAAAATTTAGTTTATTTAGAAATTTTCAAAAATTCCAGTAAACGTCGTTTACCGCTGGTTCGATTTACGCCGATTCACAATAACGCCGCTATGAAATAACGCTTTTTAATTGCTGATTTTACACTTTTATATAATTAAAGCCTATAGTTAGCTCACTATAAATATGGGTTCATTTTACGCCGATTCGATTTGCGACGGCTTTTGTAGCAACGGATCCCAGAACGAAATCCGGACTGATCGAAGCCGCACTATGCGAGGTATTACTGTGCCTGTTAGAATATTATTTGAGTGTTTATAATACAACAAAAATATTTTGAATTTTACTGAAATTTGCATGATTTGATTAAATGTAGTGTAATAAACTGATGGAATAAATAGCTCGCTTCATCACTTCGCCCTCCAAGCAATTACGGATTTTTTCTTATTTACGAAAAAAAGTATGTTGAAATGATCAGGAAGAAGAAGATGAGTGTGGACCGAGGAAGTCGACTTGGGAATTGCGTTTGTGTCATTGATAAATACGTTCTTATGTTCGGGGCATCGTTGCATTAAGAATTGATCGTATTACCATAGAAAAGAAATTTTGATGATGAAGCGTTCGATCTATCAACGAGAATCCGCAAGTAAAGAAATATACTGAAATTTCTATATAAATAATGCTTGTATTGGTTGATTTTATAAAAAAAACTCAATAAATAAAGTGGACATGGTTAATGAACAAGAATGAGCATGTATACAACCTGGTATCCGTCGTACGTCCACGAGGCCCATTTCATATGGCAGCTCTGCAGATCAAAGGGGAAATATTCCACGTTAATGTCGCACGATGAACGGTAGATACCGTGGCTGAGCCAAACCACTTTCCCAGAATTAGACACTATCACGTTTGTATTAATCACAGACGACTGGTACTGAGGATCTGCACTGCAAACAAAACGCATAAACACAATTAGTTCACATGCAAATTTAACGCTAAATACATCATTAAATACATTACGTTTGCGACGCAATCAAACTCGCAAATATTGCGATCTCTGAGGTCATGTTTGACAAATTTATTACGAACAAAATCTTAAGATTCACAGACATGTATTTAGTAGAAAAGACACATGAGAAATTTACAATTAAATAGTAAGTGTTTCAAATTTTATTCATTCTAAAATTAATTTGGAGCAAAAATAGTAATAGATTAATTAGTTAAATTTGATTTAAAATAACACAAATGTTTCAAATGTTCGAAAAAGTTTTCAAGAAATTTTATCATTTATTATATTATACATACAGCAGTACCTGCATAGTCTGATTAATAGGTTCATCAATATTCCGGACTGTTTGAAACCAGACTAAACTAGGATCTAAATACTTAAAAAAATATACATATTAATGGGAAAAACGATTATTTAAAATTTTATTGGTCTTGAAATTTTAAAACCGGACTATAGTGAATCTGACGTTGATCAAATCAGAATAAGCGAGGTATTTCTGTATTATTAGATAATAAAATTATAAAGTTATTAGTAGTTGAGAAGATCAATGCTCGTTAAGTGAGTCATTTTTGATACAATTTATTTTCTCCTTAAGCGAAATTCTCATTAAGCAAATTTCCACTGTATTTCTCTGTATTGTATCTCATTTATTGTGTTTGTAAATATACTTGTGTAAGAGTACCACCATTATTGATTCTGTATTTTCACCTTCGAAGATTCCTCCAAAATACATATTTTTTTAAATTTATTTAAAAAAATTGTTTCTTTTAAAATATTTAAACCGTACTATAGTGAAACATCATTGATCGAAGCCGCACTATGCGAGGTATTTCTGTACTTATAATCCATATCCATTCATACAGTGATTTAATGAAATTTGATTAAAAAAAAAGTAGTAAAATTTTAGATTGAGAAAAGTTATGAACCATCAAAATTTGTCACTAATAAAATAATTTGATAATTGCAAGCAATAAATAAATTATATAAAATATTACTTCATTTCAGATCAAAATTAGATATTAACATTTTGTTCCTATACTATCTTTAATATGGCGTTTGAGTCAATGAAATGTTATAGTTTAGTTTTTTTTTTAATTTTATTAAAGATATATCAATTATTAAAAACGATATAATGTAATCACATTAAAGACTTTAAAGTTTAAACTGTGTACACTGCTAACTTAAATATTATTCTAGAATTATGTGTGAAATATATATATTGTGGGTAAACACTATTTCAAAGTTTCATAAATATGTATGAGGAAGGCTTGACCAAACAATATTATGTTAACCGTTTGTTGGAAACTCTATGCGGCTTCGCACAAAAGGGGATGGTAATATATTAATCATCGATCTAAGTGTTTCAACTGCCTGTATTAGCTATGAAGCATCAACAACTATTTAATATTTGACCTAGTTAATTGTTATCCAAATAATAATAACTTTAAAATTATATTTTTTTTAAATAATAATTAAAATGCGAGTGAAACCTCGGTTCCCAAAGAAAAAAGAACGTCTCGGTTTTCGAAAGGAATTTTTCTGGTTATAATATTATATTTACAATTAACCATAATAAACACAGATTCTTTATACAGAAACGATTAAATCAAGCTGCAATTCGCGATATATATTTTCGTAATAACAATAACAAAATAAATGCGGTTTCGTTTATGTTGATTGCAATATTTCAGAATACATCGATACGCATTTGGGATTGAAAAATGAAGTACACAATCGACGTGTATAGAAAAAACATGTATAAAGATAACAATCACAGTTTTACTCTTACGCGAATCTGTTTTAAAGCAATTCGCGGAAGTGTATTATTCTTTGCGAGTGAATATTTATAGCAATAAAATCGATATGCAGCGAATATGAAATTGCTCCTTTCATAAAAGCACAACGAACACGATGAGCAACAACCAAAAAAAAAATGTGAGATTCACTTCAGTGGATGAACGACCGAAATATTATTGAAACAATCCGGTTTCGCTGTTTGTGTTTGCTTTTATTGAGCATTGTAATTTATTTTGAAAAGAACATATAGTTCAATTTTTTTTTATTATACGTTCGGTCTTCTACGATGAACTGATAGTGTCTGTATTCGATGTATTGATTCAATTAGATCAATCAGGACTACATCCAGACAGGGACGTGTGAAAATTGAACCTGACGTGAAATAACTTTTTCGTAATTTCATAAAAGAAGTTTCGGTAAACCAATACTGTAACAAATCGTATTTCTCCAATTTATCATTATATTACAACCTGATTTATAAGACTAATTGATTAATTTACATTATTAATATTGCATTTAAATATATTATATTAATTGGCTAAGAGTTTTGAGTTTTCTAATTATTGAGAATTAAATTATTGACATTTCTTTTTTATTGAAATAAAAACATCAAAGATTTGCACTATTCACAAGAACCAGGACAAGTTGAAAGAGATACAGTGGAACCTCGCTTAACGAGCTTAATCCGTTCCAAAATTTCCGGATTTCACTCGTTTAGTGAAACATATTCAAAAATACTCATAATATGTGTACACAATTCGGGACTTCTCATCGTCACTTGTTATGCGAAACGTCGCTCGTTAAGCGAGTCATTTTTCTTACAAATAATTTTGCTCGTTATGAAAAGGTAAGACAAGTAGATCTACGTAACGGTTACATGTAAATTACAAAGGAATTAGGTATGTATCAAAAATAATAAACTGCAAATCAATTCAACATAGATGAAAATATAAAGATTATTCACGCTCATTAACAATGTATGTATGTATGTATAATTTCTGTTAATAATCGTTATAACATATTTTTCCCGATTCCGAAGTTATAGAATTAAAAAGCAAAAAAAAAAAATTCAACAATGATACGATATTAAAGTAAAATATTTTGACTTAAAAAAATACTATTAAAGTTAAATACAAAACAATAAATACAAATCCTTTACTTACAACTAATAAACACTCACTCGATTTCGTTAAAATGTAATAGAAAGTAAATGTGAATGGATCCATTATAAAAAGGATTGACTGCATTTTGTAGATTGCGAAACTTCTATCTCTAAAATTCAGTCATATTTCCATTAACAGAATCGATTTCAATTTAATATGCTTAAACATTCGTTCGCGCGTCTTTTTTAAACGTGTCGACGGCTCTTTCGAATTGCCTTGAAAAAAAATATGCTGTGCAGAGTGATGAATTCTATTAAATGTTGTAAATCATTGTTAAAGGTAATACGAAATGTAACGTATTATTATAAAAAAAATCTCGTACATCTCAAGCATATTTATGAATGAATATACATATATTTCCTACTTTTATTAATTACTTTAATTGAATGAAATAAATTTGTATGTATAATTGCTATAAATTACGTTGATCATATGTGTTTACTTCTATGGCCTTCATAATTTATAGTAATAATCAATTGCTTCTGTTTATAAAAAAAATCTCTTTTTTTTCTATTTACTTTAATTCATGTTTACTTACTTATTGTAAAGAATAATATCGGGTTTCCAGACTCTCGTGTAGGGAATTCTGATTACTTTAATACCGGCATAATCGGAGGAATTCCACTTTAGATGATGATCGATCCAGATCTGGGTAATCCAACAATTTGTTGTCAAGATTTGGTTCTTCTCGTCCTGCGGCAAAGAAAAGGTGAACACATCAAAACAACAAGCGATACCCTCTATCAATTACAATTGCTTTTACCACAACATTTCTTCATATGGTTGAATGAATTATTTATGGAAATAATTAAAATGAAAATTGTTATTAATTATTTTAAATAAGAATGTTTAGCACTGAAAAATGTGCAACATTTGCTAACAATAAATTTAGAACTTAATTAAACTTAACAATTTAATTACACATCTATTTTTTTTTCTTACGCCTTTAAAGTGTCAATTGAAATGAATGTTATAGAATACGTAAGAATCTGAAATATATTTCAAAGTCAATATTAAAGACTTTCAATAAAAAAAACGAACGTATAGAAAAGTGTACAAATATTAATAATGAAGTTTTAATGATTTTGAGGTTGCTTGTTGTGTGGTTTGGGGGCTTTTAAAGAGGGTGAGAGAGAGTGGATGTTTCAATGTGGGCGGTATAATATTATTACTTACAACGTCGATGATGTGGTGTAGGGAAACTCCGAAAATCACAGTGAGAGGAAGAGATGAGTTTTCAGCTGGTCTTACCGCCGGATCATAACCAGCCATTAAATGCCGCATTAGTCGTGCCTCGTTTTCATCTCCGACGCATTTACCTGCGGATTAATGGAAAACTGTCATTAATGTTTCATTTCAACACTCGAGCATCTCTCGAGAAAATAATAAAAAAATATATGTATGGATAACGAGAGAACACTCTAAATTTGTCGTATTTGTCGAAATTATCGTTTTGTCTCAAAAACATGTTTACCTAATATTAAGTACATGTCTATTATATAATTGATACACTGTGCACTCCAGTCAAGCATTGTTAATGTTACGTAACTGTGTATCAGACTTAGGAGGTCATTGAAAACAATATTAGCAAGATCCATCCTTTCATGAAATTACATTCACATTCCATTGCATTAATTTATGTTAAATACATCGTTTATTTCAACAACTATAAAGATTTAAATTTGAAAATTGCATACCACTATTATTATTAAAACTGTTCTGAATAAAAACCAACAATTAATAAGATTTATATATTTTGTATTCCATTTCATGGTCGTTGTAATAAAATTATATTTTCTTTGCGTTGTACAAAAAATATCAATAAATTTCATATTTTTCATTGGAATGAACTTCATTAAAGAACTTGATTTGTAGCGATATTGGACAGAAATAATATACAGTTTCCTTGTGTTAATGATATAATTGATATAATTATTTTCTATCTAATAAACGTGATCAAAGTGGATGATTATTTTGAGTTGCAATGAGTTTACAAAGTATTCGAATTCTAATTAATTGTGATTACGAAAATTACACATGGAATATTGGTTTCTTGAAACGTCACTAAAACTGTTTACGTATTAGAGAAACAGGTTTTTCTGCAACTTGGACCGATATCCAATAGAGTATAACAATATATAAATTGACAACGGTTAGTGCTAGTCGCAGTAGCGATTGGAATTGCAACGTGATCATTAAGATGACTATGTACGATAGTTCGCACAAGAAGACGCACAGACTGAAGGCATTAGTATTGCTTGCATCTATAACATCTTTGGGCCTTTTCATTGATTACCTCTTGGAGGAACCTCTTTTACCAAATGTTAACCAGAGTGAGATTTTGGGATTTAGAAGTGCTGATCGTTCCATCCGTGAATACAATATTAATATTTCTGATCATGTAAGTTCATTCATATATTTGTTTTTATTGAAACAACTATAAAATTACATAAATTATTATAAAATTAAATTAAAACAATATTTATTTAATTTGAAACTCTCTTGATTTTTACTCATAATTAGAATTGAATCTTTTAATAATATTAACGTTAAAAAATATTTACACATTATAAAAACAAGCTGAAAAACTCTGACCAAAAAGAAAAACAAGAACCATATATGTATACTACTATCATTGGTATGGTAATTTAACATGTATTTAGTATGTTTACTTATAATGTTAAGTCTTATTTTTATAGCAAATCTTATTTTAGTTCGTCTTGTTACTTGTTCAGAGTTAATAAAAGTTTCTATCATCTATCCAATTATTATGTTCTGCTTAACTTTTCTAACATCTGATATTTATTGTATATTTTTATTATTTAGACATAAATAATTCAGTTGTGTATAAACGATAGTAGAAGATATTGCAGCATTAAGTTAAAATGAAAAATATTTATGTTTTCAGATTGTGAACACAGTTTTCTCGCAAGTTAAACATTCGGCGATACTTTCGCAGCCTCTGGATATAACGTACGGCCCTGACACGAAGATGTACAAGGATGTTATTAAATATTGGAGAGAAAAATACGACTGGAGAACACGCGAAGTGTACTTCAATCAATATCCACAATACACTACAATCGTCCAAGGGCTTCAGATTCATTTCGTCCACGTAAAACCAGAGACGAGCAATAAAACAGTGCCTCTTTTGATGTTGCACGGTTGGCCCGAAAGTTTTGCATACTTCTACGACATTGTACCGCAGCTGACGAGCGGAAACGGCGACGTATCGTTCGAATTGATAATACCTTCTTTGCCCGGACATTTCATGTCGGATCCAATGAAGGATAGGACAACGGTTCATGTGGCAACGCTTTTCAAGAATTTGATGAAGCGCTTGAACATCGATAGGTTTTATGTATTTGGGCAAGGGGTTGGATCATTTATTGGCACGGATATGGCAATTTTATATCCGGATAAAGTTATGGGATTGTATAACACCATGTGTTTATCTCTCAGGAAGATAAGCTTAGTGAAATATGCTTCTAGAAACAATTGTTAATAAAGTAATCAACGCGGATAAATCGAAATACGATATGTGGAAATCTTTCAACAAAATGGTTTATTTCTTAAACTACATGCAAGGAAATTTTATTAGTCTGGACTCTTTAAGTAAATAATTCATAAGTTAATAAGTAAATTATAATAAAATATATGAATTTGCAGGTATTACATTGTCGAGTTCACCAATTGCTTTGGCTTCATATATTTGGAATATCATATCTGTGGGAACTGATTTAGAAGAGTACAATAACCAATTATTTGGTGCGCTTCAAAACATGGATGAAGAAAAACTAATCGATGTTGTTATGTTAATGACAATCTCTCAGAGTACGACAAATTCCATCAGATCTCTCCAACAGTTTGTCCCTATGCCACTCTACCAGTAAATAATCGAAAAATATCTTAATTCTTATCGTTAATCTTATTTTTTGTAGGTATCCTATAAGCACCAAGGTTCCATGTTCTTGTCCCAAATTTACCAAACAAATATTTTATCAAGCCTCTTGGATATACAAGGATAAGTTCACGAATGTAGTTCAGGCTACCAATTTTCAAGAATGGGGACACAGGATGTTATTCCAAACGGATAAGAGTATCAAATACAAATTATCAAAAGATATATTTGAATCAATCAAAAAAATGATTGATT